ATGATCCATATTGCTTTGTGATTGAAGTTGATCTGTTTAGTTGGTAGAATGAAAATGAAATGTGTGCGTAATGTATTGTGTTCTTTTATGAAATAAATATATGATGAAACGGGTGCATATTATATTTTGTTCTTTATGGAATTAATGTTAATRTGAAAAGATTTCATTATAAAATGGTTCATTGATGTTATATTAATGTTAATTTTTGTTTATGGAATTAATGTTATATTGATGTTAACTTTTGTTTATGGAATTAATGTTATATTGATGTTAACTTTTGTTTACCAATTTGCCCTTATCATTAAAATAAAATAATTTTTTAATATTTTTTATTTTTTATTTTTTATTTTCCTAAAATAAAGTAAACTAATTCTAGCCATTGATCAAGAAAATGGACGGATGAGATTGGTTTACACGGTTTACACAAATGAAACAAGTTTTTATATATATATATATATATATATATATATATATAAACTTGAGATCATGTGAGACCAACATGTTTTTGTGAGATTCGTGAGACCACTTTTTTACACTTGAAACTTCACAGTAAAATGCTGTGAAGGTAACCTTCACAATGTTTTTGCTGTGAAGGTTCGGATTTTTTTACCTTCACAGTGAATTTGATGTGAAGTTTCGAGTGTAAAAATGTGGTCGCACGGGTCTCACGAAAACAGATTGGTCTCACGTGAACCCAACCCTAAATGTGTGTGTGTATATATATATATATATACATACATACATACATACACACACACACACACTAAAAACACGACATGTGATAATACACGTGAGGGTATCCGGTGGTTATGAACGACTTGGCTTACGGCATAAAGTCGTGCCGTTTACGCCACTGATTTAGTATCACATGTATATCATACGTGATGGATTATAGCTCACATCAAGAATACCTATATCACATGCCTATCCTAATGGTGTGCGGGCGACTTGGCTTACAACCTAAGTCGCAACAAAAGTTGTTTGCATCTCCGATTTAGTATTACATGTGATGGACTATAGTATCACATGTGATTGACTTGGTAAAAGTATGTTCTCACGTTATCGTAAAATGAAGACATTCTTGTTTGAATCATACTATATATATGATTAAGTTCAAAGAAAACCACAAAAAAATAAAAAAACTGAATAACACCCTAATCATGATCCATCTAAACAGTATGCACATATGCATACAAGTAATTTATAAACAATTTGTCTGGTATAAACTTGTGTATAGAAATCAAGAAACAACTTCAATTACTCATATTCACATTTGTGCATAAAGTACAAATGAATGTTACCATAGCGTCCCTCAATTTTTCGTTTTTCCGGGTTTTCCACTAAACCCCTTTCTCTACAAACACACGCGCACGTGTGTGCGCGCGCACGTGTGTGCGCGCGCACATACACATACTCCTTTATAAAAGAGGAGTTACGGTTATTCTTGAAATTTTAAGAGGTACCACTTTATAAGCTTAATGTACAATTTTAAAGCTACACAACCTCCCACAGAGTTAAAAATCAAATCACTTTTAAAATTTTAAATTACACTTTATACCCTTACAGTTAGTTATTTAATTTACTTTGTATTCTCATTTTTTTCATTTTTCATATACACTCTTATCATATTCGCATAAATAATTGTATATAAACAAAAATACATTAAAAATATGTTTTTTTACAAATTATATCATTATAATCTCTCATTAATACCTTTAAAATGAGTTCAATATTAAATATTTTTAAATTAAATAATACAATTAAATATAATGGATATTTACAAATTAATTTATTTTATATCCTTATATTTTGTTTTACACCTTTAGAT